AAATAAAGATAGAAATGTTTCGGATATATAATTTCTTCTCCAACAAAGAGTTGCTTTATTTGAGTACAATTGACTCGTCTTAAATCACTTGTAAAATTATTTGTAACATTTATCAATTTTTCATAGTCTATTTCCAGTGATGAGAGACGAGGAACATTTGAATTCAAACATATTAACATAATCGATATGTGCTTTAGTGAGAGCAATCATTGACAATTGTGGAAAATGAATAGTTGAATTTGTTTGTCATTCACTGATTCAGCTTTATGTTCTTGTGATGTCATATTGTTAATAGTTAAATGTTGAAGGAATGGAAAAGCGAGAGCGACTCAATTGAAATAAACATGTTCAAATGGTCATACATCATATAGTCTAATGTCAATAACAAGATGAAACGAATAACCGAAAAACTATTAGTAACACCACTAATACGATGCATTTTAAATGAACAGAATAAATATTACATACAGCCGTTTTATTTGAGAAATAATCAACATGACAATTGATTTGATCATATTTTCAATGACTAAACGTATTTTGAACATCATGGGCTAATAGATGATGGTGTGAATATAAGAATAGCATGATTATACGAATATGAAAAATGAATGCAGTTAGTTGTGACATATGAGTCAGACTTTTTGTGTCAAGATGAAGTCCATCAATAAATGACGATCGAATTACAGTAAGACAGATGGTAAGAGTTCTCAGATTTGGCATACGACGAAGAAGTGGTAATATTCGATTATCATATTCAAGTACACAGGCAATAGTTATTGAAAATGAGATAAGATTAGGCAGTGGTTTCTATAAAAAGAAAAAAATTTATTACCATTCCCAAATGTCAATATCCCAATAAGTAAAAATTGTCTTACAAGGAAAATATCCTAATTCTTTCCGAGCTCTCGATCATATCTTTTGACTATAAGATATGATCTTATCGAGATTAATAAAATCCTAAAAGAATTGATAATTATATCGAATCATTGATAAGTTACGATCGTTGATATATTAGAATAATATGATTTTTTCGTTTTTTGGTCAGAATCACAACAAATAGAATGATATATTATTATTCACAACTCGATTAAATATTAATTCTTGCATTCTTAAAATTCCAATTTAAAGACTTGCAGTAATATTGAGCTATATATTATGTTTAACTTATACTTCTGTAAAAATACATGTAGATAGATTAGGAAATATTTAAAGCATGTTATTTCTGCACTAGAGAACATAGTGATAGATAATAAGCATATGATTGATAGACTCCGTTTGTTATTTATTTTTCCGATGCTCGCACCGCTATTGTTATTGCTATTACATATTGGTTCATCGAGTTCTGAAAGAAATATCTTATAGCCGAATTAATCATTCAAAAAACTTTAAATTCATGAATTATATGTGTGACATAATTCATAAAATTCTGTTCTGGACAAAGATACTCCATTTGCATGAACTCTTGTAGAGTCTTGATTAATGGCCATTTCAGAGTTAAATAGACGTGGCCATTTTTTGAATAGCTTTTGATCGACTAAGGCTATCGAGCTCGGGGTTGCATAGTTGAAAAGAGTGGACTCCAGTGCATCTTTCTGTACAACTCATTTGAGTCTACGGACACTTTTTAACGGCTGTTTAAACGTCGGAATATTGTTTTTATGCTTTTTCCACGACCTTTTTTTTTGCATTCTAATTTCCGTTATACCAAATTGTAGCCGAAATTCAGCTGTATATACGACAAAATGACTATAGATTTACCATATATACAGCTGAATTCCGGCTACAATTTGGTATAACAGAAATTAGAATGCCAAAAAAAAGAAGGCCGCGAAAAAAACATAAAAACAATATATCGACGTATAAACAGTCGTAAAAAAGTGTCTGTGAACTCAAATGAGTTATACAGAAAGACGCATTGGAGTTCGCTCTTTCCAACTATGGCAACCCCGAGCTCGATAGCGTTAGTCAATCAAAAGGTATTCAGAAAATGGTCACGTTCATTGAACTCTAAGAAAGACATTAGTTTTATTGAGGTTTAGTTATAACCAAAATATGAGATCGAAAGCTTTAAAAACAATTGAAATATCTCTCTCATTACTTTAAATAAGGCTACTTACTGTATTATCAACTGTCGATGATGTTCCGTTGATGAAAAAAATTTTTACAGAAAATAAGTACAATTTATGTAGACGACCATCCAATAAACATAAGCAATTATGAAAAATTGCCACAGTAACGAATAAAACGAACAAATTCGAAGACAAATAAGTATTTAGAGAACGATTGTAGATCAGTAGTTTTGAATATACTCCAGTTCCACCTAAACCCAAGTCTCCAAGATTAGTGCATAATATCAAGATATCGACACATGCATCTGTGAACAACTGGTTGTTCACTGAAAACTTTTTTTTGTGCTTACAACATGAATAATTTTTATTTATTCTTTAAATAATGATCCATCTAGAAATGCAGAAAAATAAATGTTAGCAGTGTACTTTTCATCGTAAAAATTTAAGATCTCAAGATATATCAATGTGTATGTTGTAGGAAAGATTAATATTTAGGAAACTTATAATTTCTCTTGAGACATACACAAGTATTACTTCTTACCTTTCAAACAATTTAAAATTATGTCTGGTTCAAAACACGAAAAAGTAATTTTTTGAAGAATAGGATATTTGCAAACAAGAAGAACGCGTTCTGTTCACCATTGATCAAGGATCAGTGTTTTCACATTATGACATATTCGAGACATTATATAAAAGCAGAATTCATCTAGTAAATCATGATCCATACAAAGATATTGACCAGTTGTTGATTTACTCTTAAAGTCTATTCGACAAGTGTTATATATACTATGTGCCAACCGATCAAATCTTTTATTAACACCCAAAAGCAAATAGAGTATATCATTGCGTTTCAGTTTTTTTCATAGTAGTAATCGACAGTTCGTCAGGTAAATCGAGCAAGTAAATGTTTCAATGTTTCATATTCATGATCAATCTAGCTGTTATCTTCGTTTACATACATGTATATTCGTTTTGTTCATTGTTTATTTTCGTCAGCGCAAATAATAGAGCATTGTTTACTACTGCCTGATGAAATGAATAATATATTGACTTTTCTTTTGTTGTGCTTAGAAAAAATAAGTGAAACATTGTTTAATTATTGAAGTTGGCTTTTTTTTTCTAGACGAATTATAATATGTCTGATTCGCTGAAAAATTTTTATATTAGAATCTTTTTCGAAGAAGCTTTCCTTTACTAAAAAAGATGAATGTTAGCTTTAATGAAAGAACGAAATATAAATGTTACGCAGGGTGTGGGTTTCCTCTCAGGTCACCTCACACCCTGACTTCCACTCACACTCTATATCCTCGGAATTCAAGTGTTCATTGATATTTGAATGTAACTCTATGATGAGCAATTCAATATCTATCTCCTAGTCAAGATCATTATCGACAATATTTTTTATTTGGTTTAACTTTAGTTGTTTTTGTTGCATACATGCGAATACCTCAACATTTTCAAACCCCACATGTTTTTTCGCCTTTGCAAACATGTCCGGCTTCTCCATCACAGGCGTAAACTACAATCGTTGGTGTTATATAATACCAATCGTATCCACCACCGGTTGCCGTAATTGCGTATGAGCAACAACCATAATCAGCAAATGACATGTTAATTTGTTGTGGTACCTGCCAATTTGCTTGATCAAAAACAACTGTACTAAATTCAGCACATCGCGTGCCATTGTAGAAATAATTTGGTTGTACTTTAAATTCAATTTTAACTTGATCACTAGGTGCATGAACTGGTGGTGTTTGTAAAGTTAATTTTAAATTATCTTGACCATCAGGAGTAACCACAAATGCACGAGAGGGTTCTACATTAAATCCTAAAAACATCCAGAGTGTTGCATCAGAAATGATGTTAAAAATTGTAATTTACCCGTATTTGCATTGCCACAATAGGCAGGCCACTGATCAGGTAAATCGAACAAATGTTCAGCTTCTGATGGGATACCATTTGTAAATGATAGATATACTGTAGTTAAATATCTGTGTACATATAGGCGGTTAGTTACTATATCACGATATTCGATATAAAGGGGTGGACATAGTAGAAGAACTGCTGAAGAATACCAAACACAAGACATCCACACATAATTTGTTAATGGTGATTGATTCTTTAGAATACTTCACTCTTTGAATTGAAGTCAAATGTATTTCGAAAGCTAATTTAGAACATTTCTTAGTGGGAATACTGTGAAACAAAACGAAAATTTCTTCTGAGTGTGTATGTTTTGACTAAAAACAAATTTTTGTACGACGTCGCATTGAAATTCATTGGAGGGTTTCCAAACTCGTGTTGTATGTACGCGATATGATTAAAAAGAAAAAACAAACGGTAACAATATAAAAACGTCTAATCAATCATATTCACGATAATTATTTGAATGATAACAAGGAAAAGAAACATGCATGATTAAGAGTGTTTGTACCGTTAACTTTAACGGCTGCACTCAACATATGCATGTAATTCACCTTGAAGAATTATTGTGATATCTGCGCAAAATGCTTTAGGAGCATTCATTGTACTGTAACCTCCAGAACTTTTTTCTGATTACATTCTCTGTAACAGAACAATCACTGTTCGATATTGCAATTGTCTGCTTCTGAAAAAGTGTATTCGATACTCAACATTTTTATCAGAAGTTTGGCCTCTCACATTGACATTTCAAATGTTTTTCGAGCTCGAGCATGTAGAGACCTAATCCGAGTTATGTGGAATTACGTAGATCAATTGTGACGAGAAATGAAATTCACACTAGTCCGAGCGAGCAGATAAAATCGATTGTGATTGAAGGTCGAAATAAGTAGTCATCTTTAAAAATATATGACACAATGTAAGTAATGTTCTCTTTTGTTTTCTATTGCTTGAAATAGTCATGAGAGGGCAACTGTTGGAATTTGAGCCCTTCCAGTGACTGGTTGAGCATTCCCAATGAAAAAATACTGGCTACGCCGCTGACTGAGAATACCAAAAGGACAAAACCAGATCCTGCAATGTGTCCACCCGTTTACACTTACTCATCTGGATCGTAAGCGCCTCGACCAGCATGGGCTTCAATAGTTTTTACTGGTCTATCTGGTGCTTCAAAATAACTTAAACAAGGAACTTGACCAATTCCAGATTTTCTTAAATTACATATTTCTGGCGAATCGTATCTCTAAAATGACAAAAGTCGCATTCATTACATGTTGATACTGGTGAGTTAATTTGTAATTGCCAACACTTACACAATATATTGATTTAAATAAGATCTATTTTTCTTAATCGAGCAAACTGTCTATATTTTGTAATACTCAGAAATGAAAATAAGAAAAATAATAACTATCCTAGGAAAAAAACTGGAAACGGCAGAGCGAGACATGAAAGGCTCTCTATTTCTCTTCTGTAGGAAATGGATAAATGGCTGCTAATCTCAGTGATGTTAGTTTCAAAGTGATATGTCTTCCAATTCTGAAACATATCAAATCGTAGTAATTTTTCGGAGATTTTTTTCAAAATGTGACATTCTTCTTCGGATGTATATAAATCAAAATGATCTTTGCAATTTTGCAACATTCGTCTGCAGAGCGATTCTGTCAACGGATTTCACCTATAATGGAGATAAAAACTGAAAAAGAAGACGATGTCCTTCAGATATCAACTTCATACATTTTATGATGTTGAAAATGTATCATAATCATTCTATTTTCAGAAATAAATGAGAACGTGTGATTAACTCATCACATGATATCAGAATATACTGCTTCTCTCGCAATAGATTAACATATCACTGCATAGCCCTGAATTTCTGGTATCCATTCTTCACCCTTATTGATAAGATTCAATGGTAGTGGAAACCATGGTTGGACTTCACGGAGACTTAAACTATCAGCAAACCATGTGATCGGGAACGGGCCTGCATCTTTCATCGGATTTGTTCTGTACCAACAATTATTCTTTGAAGAATAAAGAGGAATTATTTAAAGAGAAAATACATAAAAACCTGTTGTCTCTATACCTTTGTCCGTTCTGGATAATCAGGATTGTAGTTGAACATTGTATAACCCTGCGAAGCCGGCTACAAATAAAAAACAAATCCATGCATTTTTTTCCATAACGGAAGACACTTTTTTTACTGACTGTATCTGCTTCAGCGCCTTTGGGTTTATATTGAACCATATAAGTTTCATTTTGTTTCAATTGCCAGCCTTTGATATCAAAACGAACTCTTGAATTTGTGTAATCATACAATAAATATTGAAAGCCTAGAGATGGTAGTGGCCACGACTGTAATCCAGTTATATTCAATGTTGCTTGAAACTGTTTTGGAAAACCAGTTTGACTGGAACACTGATTAATGCATAGAGCCAATAGCACCAAGTAGATAGCTTGTCACATTTCAAGCATCTTCGTATTTCACACACAATTGTGTTACAAAAAAAAAGTGCTTTATAAATATATTCTCTCGAGAAAATAAGAAGAAACGAAATGGCCTTGTAAATACCAATGCATTTGCTCTTATCATCATGATGGATAACATGTTATCATTAGAACTGTAACCTGATATATAACTTAAGTCTGGCTTAAGTTAAATACCCGTATTTCATTCGATGAGCAGTCACCAAGCGCATATTTTCTATGTCATAGAGAGCAAACAATATTCTCATTCAAATTGAAAGCATGCACTGCGCCCAGCTTAGAAACATTGGTATAAAAATTGTGAATGAAAAACAACAAGGTGAAGGCAAGTTTCGAATTGAGATGAATTCCAAGCTATTTACGACAGGTTTCGTCCTTTCTTAAGGGAGGATGTGAGTGTTGATGAGGCTGTGGATGTGTCTCATCTTTACCGACACCCACACCCTTTAGTTCGCACATGACGAAAATACTATTGGGGACTTCTCTGTGTGTCGGAAGGTGAAGACTACGAGGCTCGGCGCTTTCGAATGGATGGCGGTGACTCGTAAACAACATTGGTAGCCAGTGGAAATGGGAAAATAAGTGGTTTGAATCGACTGAATTAGTCGACTTACCTCCTTGTCAATTGAGATCACTCGGCATATGTGTCGGACAAAAGGGTGTGGGTGTGGCTGATAGAATGATCTACACCCACACCCAGTTGCAACTGTTGACTAATCCAATCGAACGCTCAATATTCTTAACTGTAGATTTCTCGAATGCATAATGATAAGAAATAGGTTCATATTTAATAACAAAAAAAAACCAATCGGGAGCAAGAATGTCTAGGTTCTATTTTATGATATTGTACAAAATCTATCCTTTTCTTTTTGTACTTCTAGTAATAGTATTAATAATGGATTTAATTTTGATTCCGATGGATCAATGCAACCGATCAATTCACTAATTTTCGATGCACTCAGTCGCATTAGGTAATGTTTTACTCGTTCACGATGTGCATCTGCTGGTTCGTCTTTCATACATTTCATAAAACGATGATTCATTTGTCGATCGAAGAAATAATCGGGTATTGCAAATTTATTAATACGTTGAAATTCTTCAGATTCTTCGTCTGATGTTTGCAAATCCGGTGAAATTTGATATGCATAATGAATATTTTTAAATTCCGATGATATATTTTTGACAATTTCCATTTCATCTTGTTCTCTCAAAGGATTGATAATATCATTACACAGAAGTTTTATGCAACATGCTTCTAATATTTTTGTATCTCGAATTGCAAGTATCTGTTGAATGGTTAACTTTTTCATTCCAACAATCGGTCTTATCATGTTCTGAAACCTTTTACTCGATCCAATTTGATCTCGTTCGCCAAGTTTGTTGATGTGATTTCGTTTCATGATTGTCGCTTTTCGAGCTAATTTTTCCGGTAATTGAGGAAAACGAACGGATAAGTGGCATAAATCTTTCAGTTTCTTTTCGACCATCAATGTCGAAGCTTCTCCGATTACTATCGATATGCCTCAAAATAGAAAAAAAAGATTAAGTAATTTTTCTAGCTGCATTTGCTAAAATTTCATAGTTGCATTTAGTAGCTACAGATGAAACTTACTCTTAAGAATAAGGTTCACTTCTGGTATAATATCAGCAACAATATCGAGTATTGTACAAATGTTAGGTGTATTAATTTCAAATATATCTGCATCGGCAATGATTGCTGATCGAAAAATACTTTCCATTCCAAGTTGTAACTGCACATAATATTCCATTAATTTTTCATTTTTTTCCAATTTATAATTGCTTTCCAAAGCCCACTTGTCTAGGATTGGTGGTAAAGGTGCATGTATGACAGGCTGTTGTAATTTTTGTTCGAATTGTTCGAATGTAATTTTCAACCATGATCGAGCCAATTTTTGGTCTTTAAATATATTGTTCTTGTTCAAAATACCATCACGCATGGTAGTCCATGATGGAGATTTGATAAAATCACTGCCATCATTATTGTTGTTTTTATTACTGCTCTTGTCTGAATCATTCGTTGAGACTATTTGGAAATAGTTCTCGACTTTATTATATGTTCGATTTTGTTTACGTTTTTCTATTAAACGATCAAAATCAGCCTTTGATAATCGTAATCGACTATGCACAATACGATCGAAATTATCATCGTTCTGTTGCTCGACAGCGATATCTTTCAAATAAAATAGATGAATTGATTCACATTTTATTTCTTGATTACCGCCCACATGTAGTAATAAATCTTTTATTTCGAGAAGACGCCCATGTGCATCCGCATCTTTTGCAGCAAAATTTTGCAAACACATGTCTAATGCTTTTGCATACAATGAAGGATGAAAATTATTCGAATCGATCATATGTTGAGTGCAAAAATATTGATACTGTTGACTGAGAGAGGTCATAAATTGAGCAAGAAAACATGCACAACCTCTGCCAAGAATTGCTCCATTCTGTTGACAATTATCATGATTTACAACAAGACCACATTTGTCATCAATACTACTGATAAAAGTGGGCGTACCCGGTTGATAAAGTAGTATAACATGAGGACCAATCATAGTAAAAAAATAAGTCACACGACCCCATTCATCTTCTAGTGGAGTGGTTGATTGATGAATAAAATTGAATAGTCCAGGGTTCAATTGTTGTTGAAGTATTTCTTTATAATATTCAGCATTTAAATCGGCGACACATTGAGTAATTTTTCGCAATATTAGGTGATTTTTTTTCATCAGTGATACAGATGATTGGCATATATCCTTGTTCATACCGAGTAACATTTGAGAAATACAGTCTTCTATGTAAACATAACTCCATGTTTTCTCCATGTTCAGCGTTCAAAATGGCAAACTTTCAATTTTTCTTGATCAAAGAAGTTGAAATCTGAAAAAAAGTAAAGGATTTACTATCTTGAGAAAAACTGTTACATAGAATTGATCGGAAAAAAATAAAATAAAAAAGTCTTAATGATGACTGAAGTCAACATTTATCTGTTTTTAGATATTCTTCACATCATCCTCTGTTTATAGAAGTAATTCGTGTTTGTCAGCGGTTGTAAGGTGAAGCGAAGTCATTCATTCTGTTACAATAAAACGTTGCGATGACAAAAAACTCTGATGTCATAATTCAAGATAAGCTACAGCGTGCGTCGTATGAAAAAGAAAAAAAGCTCGAGCACTATTGCTACCTTCATCTAATCTATGTCATTTTGTAGAAACATCATGCTGATGGACGTTCGCTTTAGGTGAAATAGACTTTTTTCCGTTATTTAATCTGCACATGTCAAGACACAACAGAAGTCACTCTTCTTTTGATGTGTCGAAAGGCTATTCCAACTATCACCAAGATAGGATGGATGTG